CAGGGGATAGTAGTTTTTCGCTTCGGCTGTATAATAATCACAGACAACAAATGAACCCTTAAATGAAACAATAATAATGATACGATAGCAATCTTGTAACTTGGGGATAAAATATTTGTTGATAAATTTTCCTCGATATGAGATATTTTCATCCTGAAAAGGCACCGTCTGGTGTGAATTATCCGCCTCTTGAGCCAAATATTTCGTTGCTGTCGAGAGCAGAGCAATTATTCATTTTTGAGACTTTCAAATTCGAACCAAATAAATTCTTTTTGGCAATTTTCAACTAGCGATTTTCTTGGCCGAAACAAGACTTGTTTGACAACGGGTTTGTTTTTCTCTCAGTGTGAAGCAATAAACCGGGTTCAATTTTGACTTTTGGCCAGTTTTTGATGAATATCTCGGAATCTAAGGGAGGTGGCAAAATTTTTCTCATGACCTTTTTTATAACCCTCAATTGGCTCTACAAAAAAGGTCATGACAAAAATTTTTATATTTCTTTTAGATTCCGAGATATTTGTAAAAAACTGACCAATAGTCAAAATCGACTTAACCCGGGTTACCGCTTCGCTACTTAAGTGCATCTTGCACTAGGAAAAAAAAACTTTCGTCAAGAAGATTTTGTACTTGTCCTGAAGACGAAGATAATTTCTTGACGACAAAAAAGCGATTTCTCATACCGAATAGAATTGAATGTCCGGGAACTAAAGTTAATATTTCGCCTAAAGAAAACTTTTGGTCTACAAAATGAGTTCTGAAGAGGATTTCGCCCAGAAAAAATTGCGTGAACTATTTGGATATTCTTGAATAAATCAGGTTTCGTTGTGAAGCTATAAAAATACTTTGAAAATAGAAAAAAATGGTATTCACATTCGAATGAAAATGTAAAAAGCTGAGAGCTGTGAATTTTCGTGATTATAATTGAGCAATTATCTCACTAATGAGTGATTTTACGAGGAAATATCATAGAACCTTTTTTGTAGGCGAAGGAAATATCTATAAAAAATATCTCCTGGCATTTTCTTCTAAATCCGCTCTTTATCGAAATAATTCGATGATTAGTGGAATGTAGGTGTTTTTGGTTGTCATCAGGATGTTAAAGATAATCTTGAGGAGAAAGGGATGGATGGGTGGATAAATATCGCTGTGGAGTGGGGAATTGGGAAATGGGAGGAGTTAAATAAATCAAGCTTCATTTTGAAGCTATAAAGAATACTTCGAAAATTGAAGAAAAAATGGTATTCACATTCGAATGGAAATGTAAAAAGCTGAGAGCTATGGATTTTTGTGCTTACAATTCCGCAATTATCTCACTAAGGAGTAACTTTATTGAGAAATACCATAGAACCTTTTTTGTAGCTGAAAAAAATCCCTACAAAAAATGTTTGTTGACATTTTCTCCTAGACCCACTCATTACCGAGATAATTCAGGAATTGAAACGTCAGATTGAAGATATTGTACGGCTTTTTGTACTCTACACTCGTGGGAACACGATCATTTACCCCAGAGAATAAAAATGTCTCGAATTTCATGAAACCCATACCCAAAACCGAATAAACCCGCAAGATTCCCTGGCAAAACTCCTTCACTCAACCATTAAACTCGTGTCATTGTCAGGTTGATCCCACCCCAAACAATGAAAACACAGATTAGCGAGAATCGATCGACTGTTCCGGTTAATCGAGCCCTGGTCTTGCTAATGACGTCCCCAAAACACGAGGCGAATCCCGTGTGCTACCGTGTAGATACCAATCGTCGAGGCAGGTGGTCCCAACGAAGCCCTCACAAGCATCAGCAGAGCCAAATATCAAGTGCTCATTTCCAAAATTCGCCGAGAAAATGCAAGGGGAGTGCAACGAAAAATCAATTCACCGCGCAAATAAAATCGTCGTCATATCGTGCAGACGATAAACACCTCGACATTTCCGGGATAAATGACGCAACGCGCGGAACAAAGCGGATGAGGGGAATTCTCGAGTTTCAAACGGTTGCGCGACGTCTAACAATCGTTCGTCTCTGGTGACCTGTACTGACTTCTCGTATCGGCAACAATATTGTCGTTTTTCGAGGGAGAAAAACATACAAATTTCGGGAGGCATCAACCCCAAATGATAAAAAAGGGTATTAACTATTACGAAAATAAAAACTAAAAACTTGTGGTGGCATTGAGGTAGTGATAACTTAAATTTTGAAACATGAATAAACGAATCATAATTGTCCAAATAACTTAGGTCAGAGAAAAATAGAATAATTCTACTGTCTTAATATTGCGTTTACTAAGGTTTTCTTCGAACAAAGTTGATTAGAATTAATAGCTAGAACTATGAGATTATCTCACATTTTTGACGTTAAGGATAGGAGAATCTGAATGCAATATAGTGAAAATGATGATCGATTTTTTCACTTTGAACGAATAATATTAATATCCAAATACAAAATTTCTGATATGAATAAAAAGAAGCTGTGACTCAATATTCCAAATGAAGTTTTAATTTTTAATTTGGTGCTGAAAACACGAGATGACAATATTCTAAGCACGGAATTATATTGATGAGATAAACAACAGATTAATTGAATTGTCGTGTGAATTAACTAAAAATTGATAACAGTGTGGGCACGCACTTTTACCAGAGTATCAACAAACATTGAATTCCAGAAATTCACACTCTAAAGTGTGTTCTAGAAGGAATTGAATTGTAATTACGATTAAAATCTTATTCAGTGATCGTAGGAATTAGAACATGAGCAAATCATCTATTGTAATATGAAAATTTAACAGCTAAGAAATTGGCACATACGATTCTCATCGTTCGTATTGCTTTTTGCAATAAGAATGATTACAAACAATTAATTGAAAAAAGGAATATCAAATGTGACAGGAAAAAAGGCACTAGTCAAATAACTGACACTACTCAAAATAATCAGCACGGTTCATTAAAGAAATTATGATAAGAAACGAGACAAAAAACAGAATAGAAATCCCGATAATTTCGCATGATTTATGATCTCCCAGAGATCAAAGATCATAAAGCGGTCCTCAGAACAAATTGGCGAGAAAAAAAAACTACAGACTGTAATGAACTCGTGTTCCGCAGAGGTGATTAGCCCTCAGTATCAATCGCGTGTGGCCATTCTTCGCAATTACAAGAGACGGAAAACCTCCGAAATACGCCCGGAGGTGGAGAAACAGTGAAGCAATTATAATTTAATCAGCCGCGAAACCCAAGAGCCCTCAGGGACACCCGAGCCCAAAGACGATAACATTAAGCGTTGGGAGACAGAGTTAATACGATACCGAAAAGATACATTGATGTTGGGTATGTTGCAGTCAGCTTAAACCTAATCAGAGTTCTCTGAACCTAATCGCATTTACTCCCCTTTAATTGGAAAACAACACGAAACTTCGAAGGGAGATGACATCGTTGGACCCTTTGAAAATATTGCGAATTTGAATAATTCTGTCTTTGTAATTAGTGAATTATCTGGGTGAGGAGTTGGTTTAGGGGAAAATGTCAATTAACATTTTTTGTGGGGAATTTCATGAACTTGAGAAAAGGTCTTCAGACATTTCCGTCGAAAATTATTCGTTACGGAGATAATTGTAGATTTGTAACAGGAACAGTTGTATTTCCAAAAGGGAGTAAAAAACGAAACGAACAATTTGTGGTAAATTGTTATTTTATTCAAGATGGAGTAGTTTTAGGAGAAAAAGCCATAAAACTTTTTTTTAGGAAATTTCATCAGCTGCAAACAAGTTCTTGTGACTTTTTTTCCTAAAAACTCCCACAATCAAGATAATTGCAAAGTTCTGAAGAGCGAAAAATCAAAAAATTAACTAAAAACTCAAATCGAAGGAGAATTCAATCTCTCTATAATTAACATTGTATATTGGCAATGAAAACCGTCGTTACTGAGACATTTGCACATTTGTGAAGAGAGAAACGGTGAAATTCAAAATAATTCTCATTAAAGCTACAGCACTCCTGATTTCGTTGTTATTTGTTTGGTTGATTTCAATTCATTAGCGAAATGGTAAAACGGTTCAAGTCGACTTATCCCTTAGTTTCGTTTTTGAAGAATATCTTCGAATCTAAAGGAGATAATGAAATTCTCGTAATAACCTTTTTTCTAGAGCTAATTGAGTGCTGCAAAAAATGTCTTGGCAAAAATTTAGCTATCTCCCTTAGATTCAGTTTAGGCTCATTACAAAGGGAAAGAAATGTTCTTCGCATTGAAAAAAAAAAATTATGGGATTTCATGAACATTCCAAGCTGTCACTAACATTTAAAAAAAATCAAGTGTCCATTTAACCCCAACCTCCCCTAATATAATCTACAATCGCATGGCGGCCGTTCGCCAGTACAGTAGACTTTCGTTATAGTCGCATTCGTTATAGTCGCATTTCCCCTCATATCGATTTTTTCGAGCTCGAGCGCTTCCCCCACTCCGTACCACCTCCGAGGTGTGGATTTAAATGCCCCTGTTTTCTCGGAATGGGCTTTGTTTTGCATTTCTAAGAAATTCGGAAAATAAAATTTAGGAAAAATGAATTTGCGAGAGAGAAATTCAGTTCACTCTTGACTGTCACGAAGAGAGGGTCTTTGCAGTGGTGCATAATCCTGCTTTTTATTTGAATGAAGTGAATAAATTTTGGAGTGTATTGAACAATGCGATGTTATTAATATTTCTATTAATTTCATTAATTTACTAAAAGTGTTCAACGCAATTCATTTTGTTAATGTAATAAAAGTGTCTAATGAAACTAATTTTTATATTTAATAAAAATGTTCAATGCAAATTGAAGAGAAAAATAATTGGAGTAAAATTTATTTTCTTATCGCTCCCGATTCCCGGAATTTAGGCTTCCCGTGAGCGCCTGGTGGGGGAAGAGAAATACAGTCCCATTCTCAGAATCGGCTGCCCCTACAGCCCCGTGAGTGCGACTATAACGAGAGTCTCCTGTAAAGCTCAATAAAAAAGTAAAGAAGCCGACCCTCACCTTCACATAAGAATTCCACTTGATCTTGCTCGGCGACACCGGAGGGCTCCTGGGGTTCCCCCTCTTGGGTACCATCAGAAAGTTCTGCACATTGACCAGATACCCCCTGGCGAACCTGCTCTTGGGGCTCTCCTGTATCCCACTCTCCTTGGCCTTCCTGGACCGCCTGAGGTTCTCCTTAGTGCTCTGCCTGACACAGACATGAGTGATCCTCCTCATATTAGCCATCACATCCTTCCCGCAGATGCTCCTCCACGTCCTCGACACCATGCTAACAGCGCAGAGATCCTCAGCCCTCAAGTACCCCAGGATCTTGGAGACAATCTCGAGATGATTGCTCTTCTCCCCGAGCAAATGTAGAATGTCAACAGTCTCCCTGCCAGTGACATCGGGTATTGACCGAGTCCTGTAGCCCCCGTACGTCCTCTGGCTGAAGTCCAGTCGTTTGGGCTTGATCTCCGCACTCCCAATACTGAGATTACTGAACTCCTTTCTCTCGACACTGCTGAACCCCTCCCCCGGGCTCTTGCTCGTCTTCGGTGAGAACGTGATATCCACCGATGCCAGGGTCACCCGGAGGTCGTAGGGGGTGCTCTGGGCAGCCCTGACCATCTTCTCTTTCTCGTCGATGGGCTCGCACGCCACGAACGACGCCGAGGGAATCGCCGGCGAGGGCGGCGGCGAGAGGATGGGAATGCTCGCCGGTGTCACCGCCGACGCCCTCTGGGCCTTCCTCGCCCTGCTCCTGTACTCCCGCAGGCCCTTGCGGAAGCTGTAGCGCGACTCGTCCCCCGGGGAGTCGAGACTCAGGGAATTGCCGGCTGAGCTGCCCTCCAGGGCACTGTCCGGGTGCTCCGGGGCGAGCGACTCCGAGGACTCGGCGAGACATGCCGAGGCGTTGATCAGGCTGTTGAGCTTGGACCTGGGGCGGCGGTCCAGCTGCCAGTGCTCCGAGCGCAGCCAGTAGTGGCGCCTCGTCAGGGCTGGGGGCCGACGGGCCCTCGCGCTCGGGGTGCCGAAGGAGTGAGGGGTTAACGACAGGTAGCCCGAGTCCATACTGTCGGAGGTGCGCGACGAACGGGGGTGAGGAACTGCACTGTGAGGGGTCTCCACGATCGACGAGATGTCCGACATCTCGATGTCCTCGACTGAGTCACTCATCTTCGATTTTTTGGGGTTTTAAGGGCTTGCAGAGGCTTTTTTGAGATTTTTTTATGGGGGGGGGGGCGGGGGGGGGGCTTTTTAGGGNGGGTGGGCTTTTTAGGGGTCCGGAGCGTCGCAGGCCCTCAACATGGCACGCACCCCGGCATCCCGTTGTGACTGGGGTTTTTGGCGTTTAGGGTTTTCTGCTTTTTGGATTTTTTAGGGGTTGGGAGGACTGGGGGGAGGTTTCACGGATTTCACGAGTTCATTACACTTGGGGGGTGACACTTAATTGAGCACTTGCACATGAGGGTTGTTGACGGAACGACACATGACGCGGAGTTTCGCGCGTGAATGAGGTGCGGGAGCGATACGACACGAACGAGGGGTGAGTGGGAAATAACCGCGGGAGCGTGGATGGAGCCGAGCGGTTGGGGGATCGGCGACTGGTGGGGGTTGGGTTTGGAGGGTAGGGGGGGACATCTGGCGGCTGGGGGGAGAGGCTGGAGGCGGGTGGGAGGCTCTTTACCGATGGAGGTCGGTGCGAGCGGTTTTTTTAACTGGCGCCACCCGCGCAGGGGGTGGTTGATGCCGCTTTATTATGGTTTTTTCGCTTGGTAGATTCGATTTTCTCTTTTTCAAATCATTGTTTATAATCGCTCTCATTGGGATAATCCCTGCTACGAAATTTAGAAACTTTTGGCCAATAGCCAAAGTACAAGATCTATGCGCGCGCTGATCTATTCGTTTGTTGAAATGAAGAAATGGAATTCGTTGAATTTCATTTTTTCATGAATACCTTATAAATATTGATAATGAATCAAAGGGAATTCGACTAGTGATTGAAGTGAATAGCGAAGTAGAGTAAAAGATTCTATAAAGAATTTTTCATTTTCAATTAATTATCTTCAATTTTTTTAAATAATCGGTCTCCATAAAAGGACAGAATTTATTAATTTCACCGATGATATATATACATGTGAAATATATATATTATATATATATGACGTGAAAAAAAAATTTACCACTGAAGAATTTAAAATTGTCACTGAAGAATTTGAAAATGCCGCGTGTTTTTTTTGTAAATAACTTCGTGTCACATATTGACCAATCAGAATTAAGGATTAGCGGTCAGGCAGTTTCGAGATATTTCGATATAAAACAACTTCACGTTTCTTTCATTCTTTAGTAAATAGGACAACCCCATATTTTTAATTATTCAATTCATAGTCAATTGGAAGATTTGAATTATGAAATATTTGATTTTCAAATTTCAACTCAAATGTTATTGAAACTGATGATTGATGCCGATCCCTGGTTGATTACCGTTCATTATGCCCTTTTTCCTGACAGATTCGATGTTCTTTTTTTCAATTAGTTGTTTATAATCATTCTCATTGCAAAAAGCAATACGACTGATGAGAGTTGTATGTCCCAATTTATGAGCTGTTAAACTTTCATATCACAATCAATGATTTGCTCATGTTCTAATTCCTACGCTCACTGAATAAGATTTTAATCGTAATTACAATTCAATTCCTTCTAGAACACACTTTAGAGTGTGAATTTCTGGAATTCAATGTTTGTTGATCCTCTGGTAAAAGTGCGTGTCCACACTGTTATCAATTTTTAGTTAGTTCACACGGCAATTCAATTAATCAGTTGTTCATCTCATCGATATAATTCCGTGCTTAGAATATTGTCATCTCGTGTTTTCAGCACCAAATTAAAAATTAAAACTTCATTTGGAATATTGAGTCACAGCTTCTTTTTATTCATATCAGAAATTTTGTATTTGGATATTAATATTATTTGTTCAAAGTGAAAAAATCGATCATCATTTTCACTACATTGCATTCAGATTCTCCTATCCTTAACGTCAAAAATGTGAGATAATCTCATGATTCTAGCTATTAATTCTAATCAACTTTGTTCGAAGAATACCTTAGTAAACGCAATATTAAGAAAGTAGAATTATTCTAATATTATTATATTTCCCTCTGACCTAAATGATTTGGACAATTATGATTCGTTTATTCATGTTTCATAGAATGGTATTCAATTCTCTTTTGTTTGCTAGGCGGGCTTCATGAAAATTGGAGGCAAGAAGATTGTACTCGTGAAAACTGCCTCCAATCGTTCGAGATATCTACTATATTCTCATTTTCGACTTAAGATCGTATAATATTGTGCGTTCAAGACAAAGTTTTGAACAAATAATATTGACATAAGTTTCATCAGCTTCAAAAAATGTTTTCTAACATTTCATTCTAAAATCACTCGGTCTGGAGATAAATACGCGCAAATATGTAAAATGTATTATTATCTTGTATTATTATTAACAAATTATGTATTATTATTAACAAACTGAAACTGGAAAAAATTATTTTTAAAGTTGCCTCAAACATTACATTATTACTGTAAACTGTTTCAATATTCAGGATTTGGAGAACAAAAAATTGAGGTGAAGAGGGGTTTTGCGTTTTGAAGTGATTCGAGGGAGGGGGGAGGGTCACGTGGCACAACGGACACAACGTGCAACGTGAGAGAAACATTTATCGAGCAACCGCTCCGAATTTTCTGTTTTTATTGGAATAATTTTGAGCAATTAGTGGGTTTATTGAGGAATTTTTGAGAGAATGGAGTCGTCAAGCAAAGCGGAGTCTGCTGCGCCCAAGCAGGCGATGGTTTACATCTGCGGAGGTGAGTTGAAGCGTCTTTATGAATGATTTTGAACGTATAACCTCAAATGCATGCAAATTGAGGGAATTTGGGGGGTCACACGAGTTTCGCAGTTGATAATTCGGTGGTAATTTCTCATTTCTGATTGTTTAGAGTGTCACCACGACAACGAAATTCGACCCAGGGATCCAATCCGTTGCAGAGAGTGCGGGTACAGGATCATGTACAAGAAACGAACAAAGCGTCGTATCCTTTTTGGAAAAATGTCTTGAATTTCTTAATGTTATCATTGAGGAAGGAATTATTTTGTTGATTTCTTGGAGGTGAGGTGGTGTAGGGAGAGTTATGAAACAATTTCTGAGGAATTTTCAAATTTTTTCTGTACCTTTACACTGAGAGAAAAACGTCAAAGTTCTCAAACAAGTCTTACTTGTGCCGAGAAAATAGTTTTTTGAAAATTATCAAAAAAAGGATTTTTTGTGCCAAACATGCAGAGAGTGCACAGGAATGAAAAATTTTTGTCGCAAAAATAGATTTAGTAATTAAAAAAATTCTCTGTACACGTAAGAAATGCCATTTCTAGCACTACTCCTTCGTTATTCGATACTCCCATACGCATTTTGCTCCCGAAAAAACTTTGTTTTGTGCGAAACAAGGGATAGTAGTTTTTCGTTTCGACTGTCTAATAATCACAGACAAGAAATTAACCCTTAAATGAAACAATAATAATGATATGATAGCAATCTTGTAACTTAGGGATAAAATATTTGTTGATAAATTTTCCTCTGCACGAGATATTTTCATCCTGAAAAGGCACCGTCTGGTGTGAATTGTCCGCCTCTTGAGCCAAATATTTCGTTGCTGTCGAAAGCAAAATAATTATTCATGTTTGAGACTTTCAAATTCGAACCGAACAAATTCTTTTCTGGCAATTTTCAACTAGAGATTTTGTTGGCCCAAACAAGACTTGTTTGACAACGTGTTTGTTTTTCTCTCAGTGTATGACGAAATTCATGAGTGAAGCGGTAAAACTTCAAGTCGACTTAACTCTCAGATGAGTTTTTGAGGAATATCTCCGAATCTAAGGGAGATAGCGAAATTGTTGTGATTACCTTTTTCGTAGCTCTCCATTCATTCTACAAAAAAGGTTATAACCAAAATTTTGCTATCTCCTTTAGATTCCGAGATATTCATTGAAAACTGATAATTGGTAAAAAACATCTTGGGAATGAGTACGTCTAGGAGCAATTTTCATAGATTATTTATTGTTGAAAATTTCTTCAGGTGAAAAAGTTCTTTGGAGACTTCTTTTAAAACTCATTAATTCTCTCCGAAAAATTCTTCAATTTATCTCGTATTCTTCATTACAGAATTATGTAATTTTCTCTGTAATGAGTGGATGTAGAAAAATATTAAGACATCTTTTATTAGAAATTTCCTGAGCTAAAAAATGCCTCGATTTTCCTCCTAAATTCATAACTGATTTAATCCCAAATTTTCATAATTTTATATTCAGCTCAAACAATTTTTTGGGAATTCATTTCAAATTCGATATTTTTCCTTAACATAATTATTTCAGTCGTCGTCTTCGATGCTCGTTAACATCAACGTCATCACCATCAACTTCAAATTGAATCTACGATTAAATAAATCAAGAATAATATAAGGATTAAGCGATAAGTTGTAAAATATTTGACTTTGTAATAAAACCGAATTTATAAAAGATTGAGTAATCATTTTTTCGACTCGTAGAAATGTTCATTTCCATTCTTTCCATTGAAAATAATTGAGAATAATGTTGACTATTGGGTGTAAATGAATAAAATGGAATAAATTGGGTATTCATTAGGCAATGTATCTTTTATTTACAATAAATAAATTACATTCTCGTTAGTAATGTAACAGAGTTCGTTTCTTTCATATTTTCATTATGACGAGGAAGAAATAATTAACAACAGCACTCATGAGCCACTGGGCCATAAATTCATTCACAACGATCTACGATTAGATTAATCCCCCCCGATTGAGTATACAATAAGTTTTATAAAATTGTTTCAAACTCCGGTCCCATCTCTGATATCAATCTGGCAAAAGCCAAACTTTGGTTCCAATGAAATTGATAATTTTGGTTTTGTCAACTCTTTATCAATGAATCTAGTGAAATGATAGCCTTCAATGCTTTTTATAGTTATTTTACAATTGATTGATTGAGTAAAGTTTTTATATAAAATCTTAAAGATGTAGGATCTTTATACGATTACGATACAAAAAACTACGGTTCAGTGGTCTCACGTATTGCTGATGTATTACCCAATATTCGGAAATATTGTTTCAGATGATGATTGATACAAAATTCAAATAATATCCATAAAAAATAGTTGCATCGAGGGCTCATCGAGATTCTCCATTAACAAATTAATGATGCAATCTCGAGAGCAGGAGATGAAAACTCAAAAGAAAAACACCGAAATACAAATTTACTTTTTTTGGATATTCAGTTGAGAGTTACTAATACTGACTCTGGAAGCAGCCAAGCCAACGTTTTACCTCTGATAAATCATGAATTATCATAAAATGTTCTTCAAAAAATATTTGCAATCATTCTAAAATCAATAAATTCTCATTCATCTATAAATAATTTCCATCACTTGATATGTTAATTTGCACATTTTAAACCACAAATAGCCCTTTGAAAATAGAAATAATTGTGTGTTGATGTTATTTTTTATCATTGGCTTGGCACTGTTGGACACATGCACACGTACACATCTTGGAAGCTCATACAATAATTTGTGATTTGGGTTTTTCTCATAATTCAGGAGTGATGTGACGAAAAAAGTAACGAATTGATTCTTTACATAATGTTAAATATGAAATTATCTCGAAGGATTTTAGGAGAGAGTCGAAATACATTTTTTTGCAAATAGTTCACTGAATTTTGAAAAAAGTGTTTTGACATTTTCCCCTAAAATCGCTGGTTGACAGGATAAATACACCAAGCAAAAATGTCAAATTCAATTCCTCACATTTTCCCATCACTTGAGACCATCATCTTTTCCCACGGATATTACACCGAAAAATCTACATTTTCAAATTCCCTCAAGTCATCTAAGCTACAATGATATCGTTTTGGCAACAGATTTATGGTATTTCCACTCAATTATCCTCTCGTTGTACAATTGTGCGGTCATAATCGATAACTTCTTAAATATTTTTATCACCCACTCAAGCACATTAACGTTTAGGTACGAGATTTACATGATTATCTGACGTTGTGTGATGATTATGCTAAGGAAAGACGTTGTCTCTGTGCTTGAGCACTTGGCTAATATTCTCCATTCATATTTTCTATCGTTATATCTTCTTAGACGAACGTTTTACGTTGCTTAACGATAACTCCGATTGATCCTTCAGCTCAGGGGGCTTTAATACATAATAATTATCCATTTAGAGATGCCTGAATTACTCGATTAATCATCTTCCTCTCATTCACCCACTAGTCTATCTTACAATGTTTCTCGTTTCAATTAATAATTTACATAAATTTATACAAACTTATTCATCAGTTGTTTCATCACCCAAACAATTACTCAATCTTCTGAATACCATACAAATATATGTATATATTCATCTATATAAGATATATTTATAAATTCTTCCTCCCTGTGAAATCGAGTGTTCAATACATTATTCTCATAACTCAATTTGTTGCACACAGTTATCTTTTTTTTGCACTTTGAAGTCATAATCACATGCCAGTCAGAGTAATTGCACCTCAAGTCGTCTAAACTCATTTACTCAGGGATTTTTTCTAGTTGATTTAAGATTAAATTTTGTATATAAATATTTTTAGTTTTGTTTATCAACTAAAATTTCATCACCATGATTCGATCATATATAATATGTATGTTTTTCTGGTGGAGAATCACCAGGGGTTGGAGATGTTTTTCACGTACGTGGGATCAATGATCTGATTTGGTAGTGAAGTGGAGAAGCAGGATGAGTTTTTTGGAAATTTTTAGATTGAGAGATGCTTATGGAAAACTTATTCAGAAAGGAAATTAATTCATTTCGTTTTTCAAGAACTTTGAAAATATCTCAGGGAGTGCATTCAGGGAAAATTGTCAAGACATTTTTTAGAGACAATTTCATTAGCTACCAAATTAATTTCTTTTCATTTTTCTCCAATTGACTTGACCAATGGACTTCAAATGTGCCTTCTCCCGTATTTTTCATAATTAAGGAGCGAACATTTGTGATCATATTTAAAAAAATATTTCGAAAAAAAATACGTTGGGGATTTTTCAAAGTTGATTTTTCGATTAAAAAAAATCAAATCTCTAATTTTTAGCGGTCGAAGACGAATTTGACCTACAAAATCAGATTCCTCAGGAAAAATCAGGTGGTAAATAGTGTTTTTAAATTTTTTTTTCCCGAGGTGAACTTCCCCTTAAAGAAAATCGTCGACAATTTTACTGACAATTTCATCAGTTACAAACATATCTTTCCATTTTTCTCCATAGAAAATTTTTTCTTCATTATCCTGCAAATACCTCTCAAATTCAGTAGCGAAGTGGTAAAACGGTTCAAGTCGATTTTGACTATTCGCTAGTTTTCATTAAAAATCTCAGGATCTAAGAGGGATAGTAACATTTTTGTTACGACCTTTTTTGTAGCCCTCAATGCGCTCTAGGAAAAAGGTTTTAACAAAAATTTCGTTATTTTCTTTAGATTCAGAGATATTTCTCGAAAACTCAGCTACGGGCTAAGTCGACTTGAACTTTTTTACCGCTTCGTTACTTAATTAACGAATTAAGCGTCAAATTTAACAACAGAATGTCATAAACTACTAAAACCTTCCACAATCATTCAACCATCCCCTTCAAATTCTCAGATATGCATAAAAAACTGACAAACAAAATTAATTTACCTCATTTTATGAACAACAGAAAAATCCAAAAAACTCAACTACAAAATTGCCTCTACCTGTTTCTCCCCTCCACAGAAATTACAAAAAAAACAGCAGTTTCATACTGCCAGAGCGAAGCCCTCAGTGTGTAGCCCTCACCGGGATAAACCAAAATCAACTATAAAAAAAATTGAAAAATCGCCGGAAGAGGAATTCCCTCGAATCTCTCGATTTACAAAACAAACATTGTCTATGGCCGCTCGAGAGCGTAATTTTGGCACTATGTATCATCATTCTTCTGTCTCGATTGGTCCTCACGTGCCACAACAATATCATCACTAATTCTCGTCTGTGTATTCTCCTTTCCACGATCACCATGCTCCACGTAACAGTGCACTTGCAATTCATTGACTGTTCTCAATGATCTTGGACATATTTGGCACTTGTAGGGCAACGAATTGTCGTCGTAGCGGGTGTTTGGCACATGTAAATCACCAATTTGCTTTGTATCATTCGTATTAACTAGGGTTGACATGTGATATGCACGTGATGCATCGATATCCGAGGGCGGTGGGGGGTATTGATGAATTGTTGGGGGAATAATTGGTTCACCCTCGTCTGAGGATGTTTCACCACCACTTGCTATGTTTGGGGGGCCCATTTCGGGGTCCCATTGGCCCATTTTACTTGGATCCTTCTCGTATAATTTGTAGGCGAGTATCTGAAATCAAAATAAATGATATTTAGTTTTAAAATTAGTAAGAAATAAGATAATTATTGTTTTGTTGCTAATTGTGCAAATTGGATTGCTCTAATTTCACTTTTTGTTGACATTTTCCCACCACTTGAGACCATAATCTTTTCTCATGGATATTACACCCAAAAATTTACATTTTCAAATTCCCAGAAGTCATCTAAGCTACGCTGATATCGTTTTGGCAACAGATTTATGGTATTTCCACTCAATTATCCTCTCGTTGTACAATTGTGCGGTCATAATCGATAACTTCTTAAATATTTTTATCACCCACTCAAGCACATTAACGTTTAGGTACGAGATTTACATGATTATCTGACGTTGTGTGATGATTATGCTAAGGAAAGACGTTGTCTCTGTGCTTGAGCACTTGGCTAATATTCTCCATTCATATTTTCTATCGTTATATCTTCTTAGACGAACGTTTTACGTTGCTTAACGATAACTCCGATTGATCCTTCAGCTCAGGGGGCTTTAATACATAATAATTATCCATTTAGAGATGCCTGAATTACTCGATTAATCATCTTCCTCTCATTCACCCACTAGTCTATCTTACAATGTTTCTCGTCTCAATTAATAATTTACATAAATTTATACAAACTTATTCATCAGTTGTTTCATCACCAAAACAATTACTCAATCTTCTGAATACCATACAAATATATGTATCTATTCATCTATATAGGATATATTTATAAATTCTTCTTCACTGAGAAATCGAGTGTTCAATACATTATTCTCATAACTCAATTTGTTGCACACAGTTATCCTTTTTTTGCACTTTGAAGTCATAATCACATGTCTGTCACAGTTATTGCACCTCAAGTCGTCTAAACTCATTTACTCAGGGATTTTTCCTAGTTGATTTTAGATTAAATTTTGTATATAAATATTTTTAGTTTTGTTTATCAACTAAAATTTCATCACGATGATTCCATCCTACATAATATGTATTTTTTTTCTCTATCTGCCATGGATTAAAATCGAATTTGTATCGTTTTGGGTAGAAGTAAAAAATTTGAGAAATCTCGGAAATGGAAAAAGCCAAGACATGTTTTTTCAAGAAACTGCTATATTAATAAAAAAGGTCAATTACCTGTAGACTAGAGAGACTATTATCACAATCAGTAGTATCAATATCATTGAGATTAACCCCGGATCTCTCCATCTCGGCATAAGTTCCAAAGGGTAATTTTCCAATGCACTCGAGCTTCATAATGTGCATTTTGCTCCTCAGATGCTTGGCCAAGTGGCCATGTATTCTGAATGCAATTTTACAGTCCTCACATTTGAATGGCCTGGGATTGCTCGTTGTGGCTGCACCAAATGTCGACGTCATGCTGACTTTATTGTGATGAGACACTGATCTTTCGTGCTTTGTTAAGTGGCCCTTAGTGCGAAATGATACTGCACAGCTTTCACACCTGAATCTACGCTCGAAGTAGTGAATGTTTATGTGAAGACGTAAGTGACTTGGTTTATTGAAGACTTTGTTGCAGAAACCGCAAACACTTCGGCCTTCTTCATTAACACTGTAACAGATGGAGAAATTTCATTGCTAATTATATTGACCATTTTTCCTTAAAATTACTCATCACCGAAATAATGTTATATTTAACATTATGGGAGGAATCAACTCGTTACGTTTTTCATTACTTCACTCCCGAATTATGAAAAAAAACCCAGATCACGAATTATTGTAAGACCTTTCCAGATGTGCACGTGTGCATGTGTCAAACATAGTGCCAAAACAATGATAAAAAATAATATCAACGGGCAATCATTTCTATTTTCAAAGGGCTATTTGTGGTTTAAAATGTGCAAATTAACATATCAAGTGATAGAAATTATTTATAGATAGATGAGAATTTATTGATTTTAGAATGATTACAAATATTTTTTGAAGAACATTTCATGATGATTCATGATTTATCAGAGGTAAAACGTTGGTTTGGCTGCTTCCAGAGTCAGTATCAGTAACCCTCAACTGAATATCCAAAAAAAGTAAATTTGTATTTCGGTGTTTTTCTTTAGAGTCTCAATGAGCCCTCTATACAACTACTTTTTATGGATATTATTTGAATTTTGCATCAATCATCATCTAAAACAATATTTCCGAATATTGGGTAATACATCAGCAATACGTGAGACTACAATACACCCCGAGAATTAATTCAATCCCACAACATTGTGACTGAATTTAACCCCAGTGAATCATATCCTCCTGGCCATAATGCAAATATGAAATCAATCAATCAGTCCTACACCACCCATAAAAAGCACTGAAGGCTTTCGCCCCCCACGATTCCCCCAATAAAAACCGTCAAGACCCAACTTCAAAATACCTCATTAAAATTTCAACTCACCTGCTGTAATTAGACCCATGTCCGCTAACCGGCTGCAGGAACTCGGCCTGTGGCTTTCCAGTACTCGGCGAAGGTGACCTGAACCCAGGTCCCCCCACCACCACCTTCCTCGCCACCACATGCTTCATCCCCTCCCCGATGCTCTTGGCAAGCTCACTAATGTTCATCCCATGTTCACTCCTGGCCTCCCCCCTGGTGCCCCCGGCAATCTCCAGCACCTTCCCCTCGGCCCCCTGGACCTCGAACCCCTGGACCCTGTGCTCCCCCTTGTACCCCACACTCTCCCTCCCAGGTGACCTCACCACTCCACCCCCCTCCTTAAACTCCCCACTCCTCATCTCATTCGCAGGCACCTTAAACTCCTGACTAGCTCTCTCATACCTCCCCTCCCCACTTCCCCGTGGAACAATCTCCACCCCCCTCTCCTGGCCCCCCATGGCAAACTCGTTCTTCATCATTCCGGGTGCAGCCTCCCTTCCCGCATCGCCAAACACCTGTCGCTCCATCCCTTTGATCACCTGTGGCGCCATCTGCTCGATTCCCCTCATAATCCTCACGTCCTGACTCTCCCTCTCAGGATGCAGGGACTCGATGTCAAAGGGCCTCCTCTCCCTCACCTCAATCTTCACATCCTCCTTCTCTCTCCCCTCAACGCTTTGCATCCTACTGGGATCGGTGTAAGTAACCGTGGGAGTGCTACTGGAGTAAGAACTCCTGGAGCCAGTGAACTCCTTGGAATAGACCACTTGCTTCTCGTTCTTGGTGCTTCCCACCCTGTACTGCAGCTTCATCTTGCTGTCCATGACATGTCTCTCCGTCAAGTAAGCCTGCAGCATGTGTCCCTCATCGGGCTTCCACTCCCGTCCCTGAAGAGGCAGCCTCTCCATCGTGTGGACAATCGACTGCATGAGCACCGGTTCCGACACCGGTGTCAAGATATCCACAGGTTTGGACCTCAACGGAGGTGATGGCAGAGGCATCTGAGGTGTCTTTGTCGTCAAGTCCATGGGCTGATGTCTGGAGACCACCTCCTCCATCTCCACGTCTGAATCCTCAATCTTAGAGGACCTTATGACACTGTCTCTCGTCTCCTCAGGCAGAACTGAGGACCGACTCGACGGGAAGTAGTACCTGTTGGACACCTCCGACTGAATAACCGTTGTCGATGTCACAGTAACCGCCGAAACGGAGCAAGCGGTCGTCGACACCAGGGAAGTCGTCACCGAGGTGGTAGGGAAAGTAAGCGCGTAAGGGTAGGTGGTGGGTCTGCCCGCAGGAAGCAGCCCTGGAAGTCTCTTCGAACTCGGTTGAGACAGACTCAAAAGACTCTGAGCAGCCTCGTGCTCCTCACTCCCAGACTCGTCGCTGTCATCCCCTTCGGAGTCCTCGTCCTCGTCCGTAGACTCCTCATTAGCACCACCAGCTACCAATCTGGCGATCGCTTCCTTATCAATATTCTCGTCGCAAACTGTCGTAGGAACAGGCGTCACCCCCATCTCCACGCACTTCTTGTAATGCGCCTTCGACTTCATGTGCTTGGTCAGATTTCCTTTAGTCTTGAAACTAAAGGAACAGTGCTTGCAGGTGTAAGGTCTAACATCCGTATGAGTTCTGATATGTTTCTTCAACATAGACGGCTTCTTGCAGCGAATCCCGCATTCTTCGCAGACGTATCGGCCCCGACCTCTACCTCTCACGTAAGTGTAGTCTTCGTTGGACTCAAATCCGCCGTCAAAGATCTTGACCCTTCTCGTCTTCTCCTGGGTATCGCTTTCTAGTCCGCTGTCTGGACTCGTCGGAGTGTTCGGGCGTTGGGAAGAATGCGTCAGGATGTCCTCCTGCTTCTTCCAGGCTACAGTGTAGCTAGCTGGACGGTGTCTAGAGTCGTAATGAGCCATGTCCAAGTCCGGTGGCGCCTCCTTGCAGATCTTCCAGTTAGAGTACATGGACAGCCCGTGCTGCTGGCTCACGTACATCGGCTGTGGTCGATTCAGCGTGCAGTAGAAGACTCTTGTCGAGCACTTGAGACCCAAGTACGTGTAAGCGTGACCGTTGAGGTACAGCTGACCATACGACTTCCTCGGTCTGGGAGTCTCCGGGCTTATCAAGGGAAGGGTGTTGGCAGTGGGGGTGATACCGTGATGACGCTTTGGGGTGAAGGTTCCTGGTTTCAGCGGGAGAGAGGTTGGACGCAGAAATTTTGGGTTGGGCTCTTCTTCCTCAGGTGTTGGGTCTTTCATCTCCGGAGTTGGTGGGATTGTCTCTGGGGATTGTTCAGGCTTTGGAGGGTCAATGTTCATTATTATTACTGGAGGACCGACCTCGGATCTCATTCTTGCGCCGTTGGCGACGTAGGGCTCTGGAGACGTCGGCTTGATCCTTCCATTTTCCTGGGGCGGGGGTGAGTCGTATTTGTTCGATGATTCCTTCGGGGGAGACCTTGCGATGAAGGAATTGCCGGGGTTAACCCCATTGGGGTAGTTGAAGACTCTTTCGATCGTCTGCACCTTCTCCAGGATCTTGTATTTTCCGATATTCTTCGGATGCCTTTCAATATCGTTAGGTATGTTAGGTAATTCAATCATTGGAGTCGAAGCCAGACGACTTTTATATTTCTCCTCAAGTTTGGCAGGTACTTTAGGGCTCAAGACTCCGTTGTTAGGATTCTTGAATCCGATTTTGGGATCCTTAGCTGGACTGGCAAGATCCAGTGGTTGACCAAGGCTCATCTGAGCGTTGGACGTTGGTCCAGGTATACCAGGGACACTCGGTGTCTGCGCCCTGACTGGGCTCGCCAGATCCAGCGGTTGAGGGATGATGTGTAATCCTGGAATGCCTGGAATGACTTTGTAGCCAGTGGAGCCACTGGTCACTGGGGATATGTCTACTGTCGTCGACAGCGTGTGCGGTCCAGGCATACCAGGCACGTAAGGAATCACCTTACCTCCGTGAAGAATACTAGCTATACCTGCCTGTGGCAGGGTTAAAGGATTGTAGGCAGTGATACTTGTCAATGGATTCAAGTGTGGCTCTAGGTAACTGTAGCAGGACATTGTTGGGGCTAAGTTGGGGGTTGATATGTTTGGTATGATTGGTGCCAACATCTTTGGTGTGTTCGGCAGGGATATCGAGGTACTTGGGGTCGTCGATGGGGTACCTGGTGGCTTGTGCACCAGGGTACCACCAGAGTGGAGTCCTGAACGCACTACTATCGATGATGTTTCAGTTGTTATGCATTTGTTGTTCAAGTTATGATCGTTTGGTGGCGAATTTGTTTGTCTAGGCTCTATTCTCATGGTCTTTGTCTCACCTGTGTTATCGAGAATCCTCACTTCACCACCGAACATCTGAAGTGAATTTGGTCGCGGGTATTTCGAGAGCTCCTCGAGAGATCGCAAAGTCGTGGGAACACTATCTATTCTCGACATTTTGGGCGGAGGTCCGTACGCATCTACTAGTCTCGTAGTTCCTAATAAAGGACCCGGGGAGGGAAGCGGTTGGACTGTGTTGTAAAAGTCTGCTTTACCGTCATAATCTTCTTTCTTATCTAAGTCTAACTGGAAGTCTCGTTTTGGGGAGTCTGAAACTTTGCAATAGTACCTTCGATGCGCTTCTAAATTATCTAAGCTTGAGTACGAGATTCTGCAGGAGGGACAGGTAAAGCTGTCTTCCTGAGGCTCTGGTGTATGTTCTGGTGTTTGAGTTCTTGTCTTCAGTAATAGATCCTTTATGATTGAGCCCTCGCCGTTCGGCTGGCTGTTAGTCGTTTCCTCCTGCGCGAAGCTCTCGCTGTAGCAACGCTTTCTGGTCGTTTCGTCGCCAGTCAGGTTCAATGGCTGCTCTGGCTTCCTACAGCCGAGAAAATACTGCCGCCTTCGCAAGAGCTTCAGTAACTCCGGGTCCATGTCGTCCACTATCGCTTGATTATCCGTGATTATCTTGTCGATGTGCTCTTGCACTTGTTCCGGATTTGGTTTTATTGACGTTGAAGACGAACTGTTGGAAGAGCTTGGGGGTGATGGCGGGGTTATCTCTGGCTCGCTGTTCACGCATTGGAGGGCTGTGTGGAACTTTGGCTTGTAGATCTTTCCAGTCTTTACGGTTTTTGGATTTTGGACTGCTGGGGTGGATGCGATTGATGATGGCGGTGGAGGAGGTGTGCCTGTACCGTTGCTCGCGCTGTCTGAGAGACTCATGTCTGAGTCCTCGGAGACTTTTCCGGTATCGACACCCTCCATCTTAAGCGCGTGCGCTCGAGATCTGCAGTGTTTATATAAATTTGATTTTGTTTTGAAGGCAAAGCCACAGGGCACGCAGGGATAGGGTCGCTCATTTGTGTGGGCACGGATGTGTTTCTGGAGGACACTTGGCTTCGCGCAGGAAAGCTTGCAGTAGGGGCAGACATAGCCAGACTTCTTGGACTCTGCTGGCTCGCTTTCATTGGAATCTAGGGGTGTTTCGTCGGTTTTGGAAGACTCTTTTGGGGGCTTTGGGGGGTCACGATTCCTAGGAGGCTCTGAGGTGGTGGTTGGGGTAACCAGCGGAGGTGGGGTTTCCGTCTTGACCTCCAGGGGTGCCACCACCTCAGTCGTTGCCATTTTCTTGAATTTTTTGTGAAGGTACTTTGGCTCGCCATCGTTGTTGTTGTTTGTACTTGTGTTGTTGTTGTTATTTGCCAACTGTGGGTCTGTCATTGCCACAGGATGAAGGTCTGGAATTCAAAGGAGAGCATTGGTTATTAGAGGGTCTTTGAGGGGGCTTCTGAATTTATTCGTTTACTTATTTATCTGAGACCCAACGGCCGGGGCCGATTAGAGGGTCAAATCATGATACAATGAACACGTAAATGTATGTGAAATTGAATGGAATATCACGGGGAGTATCCGCTGTATCGCAGACGAGATTTATTTGAACTCATTTGGTGGAGTCATACAATGGAATTGTCAATTGCGATGAAAAGCTCCATCAAATAGGAACAAACACACAGATTTATCGGAATTAAATGACTCGATTGATGTCATAATTAGTGACATCATCATGATCGTTTATGATTGATAAAACGTCTGGATCTACTTGTTCAAATGACTTGGGGATTTACTGTTTTATGGATGGAGTCTACCACTAAAATAGATCATTTTCTGAACGCACTTGAGGCTTCCAGACACTCGGGTATCGGGAGGAGGTGATATGTATTGCGAAACCGGAAGCAACTGAGTTCAACAGTTCAAAACCACTGGCAATGCTTGCACTTGTGTATCCTGTTCTCCCTCGTGGGGAGGGAGAGGGGAGTGGAATAGAGGAATATCCAATCAGAATTAATTATCATTCATAATTAAACTTGACTGGTAATACGAGGACTGCCATTGAATTTGATAACCGAGAATCGCTCCCTCATTCATTCGATACTCAATCACTTTTTATCATATTTTTTATGCCCGGAGAAAAAGGGGGAATTATTCGCTGATGTGAGAAATCGTTTGTACGTCGAATTGACGCATTATGTTGATGCACAAGAATTTGATTATTTCATTAAATTGTATCTGCGTCTTTTCCGAGATCTGATGGACAACTTTGAACTTTATTTTTTCTTTTCTCGGAGATTCTGGGGATTGACGTAGGAGGGTCACAAATGGAAACGTTAGACGTTTACGTTGACATTGCGCATGAATAGAATGCAACAGTCGGTGGGAAAAAATGTCGTGGTGATTACGTTTGAATGTCAGTAGTTGGGAAGTGGGGGGAGATAATGAGTTCACTGAGAGAAAAAGGAACAAGTTCTTAAACAAGTCTTGTTTGGGCGAAGGAAATCGTTAGTGGAAAATTACCAAAAAATAATTGTTTGAATAATAACTGTTCGAATCTGAAATTTGCTTTCATAACATTATTATTATTTCATTTAAGAATTCATTTTTTGTCGGTGATTATTGAATAGCCGAAATGATAAACCACCATCCCTCGTTTTATATAAAACGAGCATTTGTTTCTTGCTTGCGCAGAGAATAAAATTTTGATTATTTGAGGTTCTGTTTCTGTTAAAGAAATGTTCTTTTAAAATCATTAATGAATCTTCATTTGATCAAAATAAATTCTTCATCGATAATAAATCAAGAGTTTTCTTACATTAAGATTTTTTAAATTTGAACTCAATATATTTCTTCTCAACTTAATTCATTTCTTCATTTATTCAGTTATTTGCAATGAATAAATTGTTTATTTGATATAATTAAAACTTTTCTTTTGAAAGAAATAAATAAGTAAAAATGTTCAAATAAAGATTTTTATTTGATTAAAATTAACAATTTTAATGGATGTACCTTGCAATGCATGTCTCGAAAGTTTGTATTTTTAATTCAGCAATAGTTGACTTGGAAATAATGAAAAGTGAAATAACCACTCAATCATCCAAATCCAATGATTGAACTTAATTTCCCTTTACAATTATTCCAACGAGATACTCGAATTATTTGAACGCCCGAGACTCCATGCACACGGAAAGCATAAACAAACACCAATTAATTAATTAATGACGTGAACAACCGCAGCTCGCACTCATCCATTCAATTTTCCACGCATTTTTGCCTCGATTACCCTCGGAATACTAATTAAACCCTCCACAAATGATTGCTGTACGCATTTTCAATTCAACTGTCAATAATGCACTCCACACGATTCCCGGAAGTTTTGCTATGGAGTAAATAGAGGATAAAAAATGGGAGAAAAAGTATTGAGGCAAGACATAATACTAATGTACGACGCAGAAGATTAGTTGAGGATTCTATATTCTATATCCACGTGGAACAGAAACCACGATGGAATGAAAACATTCGTTGTTCATAAATGAGTAATTGAACTAACCCCCGCTGACCCGCACGACCTACACAAGACCCTCATATGATCCCCATGACCCTTATTTGGATCACGGTGATCCTTAGGCCGACCCTTGCGACCCTTAATCTAACCCTCGTGACCCTTATTCCGACCCGCGTGCCCCTAATTCCGACCGCCGTGAGCCTTATCCTGACCCTCGTGACCCTCATCCCGACCCTCATGGCCCTTATTTCAACTATTAACTCATCATCTTGTTAATATTTTTCAAAGCAACCAATATTTGACAATGCAAGACAAACCATGATTTCATCCAGCTCTTGAACCGTATTACATTGAACTCAAGGAAAACTGAACATGTGTCAAATTTAGAAATATCCATAATGTTCTTGTTTGGTTAAAAATTCTCGGTTATCCTCAATCCCCAGGAAAACTATTATTGAATATGGCGCAACAAATACGTCTATACGATTATTGCTCACTTTGTACAACTCGCGGTTCGATGCTTTATCGATACGTAAAAATTCCCCCCCCCCCCTCCCCCCTCATTGTGCTATTACTTTTCCGTGAAACAGCGTGACAAAAACAGAAGTCCACCGAGGCCAACTTGCACTACCAGCTGGTCATTGGTGTGAGTGTGCGGTCTTGGGGAATTGCTTGTTGTACTCTCATTCGAGGAAAGAGGGAAATCCATTAATTGGAGAAGTTAAACTTCCTTGAGAATTACAAAACATGCTGGGTTGGGTGTCTTGAGAGGACAATTCAATAGAACTTTTTTTACAAACCGCGAATTGATCGCGGTAACTAATTATTTTAGGTGTGAAATGGCAAAAGATTTTTATAGCTGTAAAAATGCTGTACAAGAAATATTTCTTGTCGTTCTCTTCTAAAATCTCTCGTTATCAGGATAATTTCACTTTTATCAAGATGTGAAACACCAACGGTTCTACCTTTTCCCAGTTGACCACTGAATTCGAAATAATTTCTCGCTCACAAACAGCTAATAATTTCTGTTGAAATATCCGGTGACCTCATTGTATTTCCTTGGAATCGATTCCCCATGAAATTCTGGGAGATAAGTTTATTTTTAAAATTCATTTCAGTGGTTCAACGACATGATGAAACCAGATAATTTGATTTCCTCGGGAGTTTTCCTCGCGTCTCGGTGAATATCACGATCTAAAGCGGATACCGTCAATGTACCAGTAACTGCCAGTAACTGCCAGTGCCCCGGTTTCTGACACCCTCAGTGATTTTTTAATGGATTGAATTTAAAATTTATCGAGGAGGAGTAAACAAATTTTCTTAGTGCGGAGGACATTTTTTATTCCTCCAGTCAGAAAGACAAATTCATTTAATCATTCATCTGGCAAAATACCAATCTCAATTGATGCAAAAGAGTATTAACTATCTACTCCGTGCGTTGATTTAACGAATTATTAAGAAAAATTACTTGACCCTCATTAAAGACACGCAAATCTACTGGCATTAACTGGTGCATTGACGATACCAATTTTCCTAACAAAATTTTGTGTAGCTCTTAATCTACTCTATAAGAATCGGCGTCCCTCTGCAATCCCAATATATTCCTCATAAAATAAAAACTGAAATCAATCCATGAACGATCATTCGATGCTCTCATTTCTCAACATAATTTCCACAAAAAATTAAAATATTAACCAAACGAATTTTTTTCAGAATTCAAAATTAAATTAATTACGTAAAAAATTGAAATAATCACCAAAAAAATGTTGGGATGATTCAAATGCACATTATTTAAATCAAGTCGACCTACTCTATAAAAATCGGCATCACTCTGCAATCCCACTATATTCCTCATAAAATAAAAACTGAAATCAATCCATGAATGATCATCCAATGCTCTCATTTCTCAACATAATTTCCACAAAAAATTAAAATATTAACCAAACTGATTTTTTTCAGAATTCAAAATTAAATTAATTATTCCAAAAATTGAAATATTTACCAAAAAAATGTTGGGATGATTCAAATAAACTTTACCTAAATCAAATAGACGTACTCTAAAAAAATCGGCGTCTCTCCGCAATCCCACTATATTCTTCATAAAATAAAAACTGCCATCAACCCAACGGTAATTGTATTGTATTGTTCTCAACCTAACTTTAAAAAAAAAAATTAAAATATTTCAAATTGAAAATTAAATCAATGACTAAAAAAATTACAATAATTACCAAAATGTTGGCATGATTCAAATAAACTTTACTAAAATCAACTAGGCATTTTCTCGGCTTGCACCTTTCGAAAACCATTAATGACACTCACCGAGTGTGTGCAGTGTCCCCGCCTGGCGGGAGAATCCCGCAGTCAGCGCGACGACTCGACTAGCTGGAAAGTGAGTCACGCACGAGGACTTACTTGGTCGCACACGTCTGCGCTTGGGATTCCCCCCTGCCCCTGCGCCGGTGTCCGCGCTATCTTTCCGCTGACGCCTCCGACAACATGACTCCACTCGCCCCCCCCCCGGCCCCCAGGGGCCGCGCACAACCAACGAGACCCAACACAAATGAACGGAGATGACTCCACCGAGATGATTCTCCGTCCTCCTTCCTCGTTCCGAATGTACTTGATGTGCCCCCACCCAACTGAATGCCACTACCACTTGCTCGACACGGAATCCAACGCTGTCCGCAAACTGTTGAGAGACTGGTGTTCGGGTGATTGGGTCACGCACCCCGGGTTTTACTGTGGAAAATCGTGCCCTAGGACGTTCACGGACGCCGGGGATTCCCACTTTTTTAAGCGGGATTTCCATTAGTTTTGGGGGATTAAAGTTTCATTTAAGGATTTGTACTGATTGAAGTAGCGATTTGGAGGTTTTTAATGGTCGGGTTAGTTATTGTTCAA